ACATTTGTTGAAAAGCTAATGAGACTAGGCTCAGTGTTTCTAGGAATGTGCTACAACTACGTAGCTCCTAAACCTTATCCTATACTTCATCAATAAAGATAATGCTTACCAAGCATCTATTATTGGCAGCATTACTATGCTAGGTACAATGAGCACTAAGACAATTAGACAAATTTTGCAAACTCATTGGGAAAACGAGATATTTTCCGTTAAAATAAGAACATCTGGTAATACATGCTTAATGGGGATGAAAAGGTTGTAGAGAAAATCTTCATGGAAGCGATGCTACTTGACGCGGGCCTTCAAAGAGTGTAGGTCTTAGATAAAAAGAGAAGCAAGCAAGTATATTCTAGGCTAGGATAATAGTGTAAACAAGATACAGAGGGGTTAAAGCGCCAAGCAGGTTAACACAACTTAATTCTTTATTCCTTTAGACTCAAGCAATCACTTTCTTTATACAGATTAAGAGATATAATAACTTTGCTTATGAAGGCAACTCCTGAAATAACTAATATAGCTGCCAATTACTGTTAATTTTGAGATTGGTTTTATATAAAGACATAACAAAAAACAATACTGCAATCGGTCAATATTTCACTAAGTTATTAACTGCTTTCCTCTGTCCTGTCATTTCTCTACAGATCTACGGTTTTCTATATAAGCTGGAGTTCTAAACCATTTTGAGTTACTTTTTTTGGTTTAGGTTTCTCCCAGGTGATATGAATTGCACCTGTTAATAAACTTTTTGTTTTTCTCTTGTTAATCTGTTTTTTTTCTTTGGCTGTGCCTCATGGGTTGTGGGATCTTAGTTCCCTGACCAGGGATCGAACCCAGGTCCCCTGCAGTGGAAGTGCAGTGTCCCAACCACCGGACCACCAGTGAATTCCCCTAATCTGTCTTTCTGTTAGAGTTCTGGCTAAAAGCCTAGCAGAGGAAGAGGTCATTGGGTATCCAGGGATGTCCTGTGGGCATACTGACTTATAGTTTAATTTGGCCCAAACTCCCTAAAATTCCAGAATTATGGTAGTAAATGACCAGTTTTTACAGTCTTCATTCCAGTAGTAGCAGAATAATGTCCAAACTCCTTGCCACAGCACAATGGGTACATAATCATGTTTTAAGAGGAACCATTTATATAAACTAAAGGTGAAAGTAAATGGTGCCCCTGAGGCCCCTGCCAGCCCATTTAATTAGTTCTTCCGCTAATGTCCATCATGTACTCTAAGATTTGAATACTTCGTGCTGCTCACAGTTATTTAAAGAAGCTGTATTTTTATTTTTTCCCCCACTGTTACATGTGATATGACACACTTAAAATACATTCCCCCACCTCCCCTCTGTCAGGTAAACTACTCAGCTCAAATGTCATCTTCTCTATGAGGGTTTCCCTGATTCCATTAGGCACGATATATCAGTCCTTTATAATATTTCAAGAGCGCTTTATACATATCTCTAGCCTAGTGGTTCTCAGCAGGGGGTGACTTGCCTCCCAAACGCTGTCTGGAGACATTTTTGGTTGTCACAGCTGGGGTGGGTGGTGTTAACTGGCCTCTAGTCCATAGAGGCCAGAGATGCTGCTAAACATCCTACAATGCACAGGATGGCATTATACACAAAAATGCAATTATCTTTACAATAAAGAATTGCCTGGCCCAAAATGTCAACAGTGCCAAGGTAAGAAGCCCTGATCTATACTTATGACACTGTATCACAATTTTCTTGCGTGTTTGTCTTCCCCCACAGAGTATGAATGTTTTACCATGGCAAGGTGTTTTAGTTATATTCCCAGAGTCTTTCCTGGTACACAGCACATGCTCTATGAATGTTTCTGAATGAATAGAAGAAAGGAGGGAGAAAAGGAGGGAAGGAAAGGAAGGAGAAAAGGGAAGAGTCAGGGGAGGTACAAACAGAGGGAGGGAAGATAGGAGAAAGAAAAAGGGAAGAGCTTTCTCTCCTTTCAGGAAAGCTACATAGGATGATGCAAGTTTCCTACCCCCACCCTCAATATATCCCAGAAGGTATACTTACACAGTATTTAAAGCCAAACAGACTAAGGGCTTTAGGCTTTACCACTTACTAGCTGACAGATCTTTGAGAAAATTATCTAATTTCTTTAAACCTAAACTTCTTCATTTATAAACTGGGGGAAATGGTTTTACTCTCATAGAGATGAGGTGAGAATAAAATAAATAAACATTAAGAAACTAGTAAAGTGCTTACACACAGTGAGAATTTATAAATATCACCCTTTCCCTTCCTTCTCTAAGAATATCCATATAGAGAGGTAACAGTTATGACTTTTCTCTGTTTTCTACTTTGGTAAACCCGAATATGTTACTATCATGATTGTAAAATAAAAACATAGTCATCCTGTTTGTCACAGAACATTTCTTAGATAACTTATATTATTTAAAATAATTAAAAAAACAGATTTCTAGTCTTTACGGTTTTTGTAATTTTTACTCATGACTTTAAAAAATTAGGGCTTCCCTGGTGGCGCAGTGGTTGAGAGTCCGCCTGCTGATGCAGAGGACGCGGGTTCGTGCCCCGGTCCGGGAAGATCCCACATGAGGCGGAGCGGCTGGGCCCGTGAGCCATGGCCGCTGAGCCTGCGCGTCCGGAGCCTGTGCTCCGCAACGGGAGAGGCCACAGCAGTGAGAGGCCCGCGTACCGCAAAAATAAAAAATTAATATTATCCTGACAGAAAGGTGTCAAGCCAGAGCTCATAGTTCCAAATTCAAATTACAATAAGTAAAACAATAAAACTCTAAGGAAAACTATAAGAAAAAAGTTTTATTTGTAATATGAAAATAAAATCCCATTCTAAAGAATTCTTCATTTCCTAGAATACAAAAGATAAGGAAAAAAATGGACTAACTTAACTTTAAACCCAAACGAAGGTCTAACCTATCCGGGCTGTTGTCGCATAGTCTTTCAAAGGACCTACCTGGCCTGTTGCCACATAGTCTTTCACAGGATGAATAGCCAGGCAGAGAATATCATCATCGTGACCCAGGTAAAAGCGCTGTGTGTTCTGCTGTCGGTTATAGATGACACCCACTGCTGCCACATGGTACACAATTTCACCAATTTGGGTATAGAACAGATTACTTCGACAGTCATACCCTCTGTAACTAAATATAGAAAAATCATATAACATTAACTTTGGCCTTTTACTGATAAATGTGGACTATACAGAGGACATTCAATTTCCAGCTTTACAAGATACTGAACAATTTTTAAAAATACAAATATCTCACATCCCATAAACTTCTGTGAACTGCTCTGATTACAAATAGCTAAATCCAAGCTACAACACTCAATGAAAAAAGGTGCAGAAAAGTGTATATTGTACAGTAGTATTGCATAATACTAAATTTGTATACTGTAAAGCAAAAAGTTGCTTTTTTACAAGTGAAAGGGTATAGAAAAGAATATATATTTGCATTTGTTTGTACTATATTATACATAAATATTTCTGAAACTAGGTAACAGTGATTCCCCTTTGGGTGGGGGGGAAATGATGGCTGGGAGGGCAGAGGTAGGAAGACGATTTTCAGAGTGTATCCTTTTATACACACTGTTCAACCATGAGAATAAAATATATCAATATATATTACAAAAATAAGTTTTAACAATTTAAAAATATTATACACATCCAGAAAACAAGTAGTCAAATCCTCTCAAAAATGATCAATATAGATAAAATAGATAACTAATAAGGACCTACTGAATAGCAGCACAGGGAACACTACTTAATACTCTGTAATGGCCTATATGGGAAAAGAATCTAAAAAAGAGTGGATATATGTATATGTACAACTGATTCACTCTGCTATACACCTGAAACTAAAACAACATTGTAAATCAACTATACTCCAACACACACACACACACACACACACACACACACACACACACACAAAATGCTTCCAAACAAACAAACAAAAAGAAATACTGTCTATTTTAACACTGGAGGAAAAATATTTTTACTAAATAAATCTGTTTTTTTTCAAATTCTTGAAAACATTATAAGCCAGGTAAGACAATGATTACTAGGTGAGGGGAAGGAAAGAGTTGGACTGGAGACTCTGTTGTCCCGGGATAAAATGTGAGACCTGTATTGCCAGATATTCTAAGAGAATCCAGAAACCGTATTTTATTGAAATTATAACATATAGGCCAAAATGCTTAGGCCAAAACAAGCTACAATATCATTACAAATTAGACATATTTAGGGGAGATGATAATCTCTTACATTTCACTTATTTTGTTTAAAGAGATCCATTTCTATAAAAATAACACTAAGTTTTCATAAGACAAATTAATTTTTAATTTAATAAATACTTATATAGTGCCGTAAAACATTCTAAGTCACCACAAGTATTGACTTATTTACTCCTCACCAGAACCCCACGAAGAAAAATACTGTTATCTCCATTTTACAGATGGTAAAACAGAAACACAGAGAGGTTAAGTGTCTTGCTCAAAGTCACATAGCTAGTAAATGTGAACCAAAATTCAAACACATAAATGAAAAGTAGTCGTTTTGTACCCGTGAACAAAGTGTAATCGAATACTATTTCCTGGAGCCCGCTCTCTTCTTTTAGAAGTACCACTTTTTTGTTTCTCTTTGTATTGTTCTTTAAGCTGAGGTAGATCTTCCGTGTAAACCTTTAAATAATGTACATAAGTAGAAATATTCTTAGAACACAAATTTATAAAGGTGTTATATATTCCTAATGTAACTTCAGACATTGTGGTTACTATGATCGCTAAAGTTTTAACAACTGTCTTCAATAGGAAGTTTCTTTATGAAATTTACTTCCTTGGAAAGACAACGGTATTTACATTTTCTAAGTATCACACTGACAAATACATATTTAGTTTCCATGAAATTTTTATACTTCGTAAGAGAGTATTTTAAAGGAAATAAATGGAAGTGTACTGCGACAAAAAGCCCATATAATATATAATACAATACAATACAGGCACAGTTAGTATATCAAGCACTTAATATAAATAACATTTTACACAAGTATACTTTAACTCTTAAAGGGGGAAACAGCCATACATTTCTTGGAAAATTAAAAACTGCAAAAGATAACAATAGATGAGTAAACAACAGGGAGCAAGATAAAGAAGAAACTAGAATTTTTCAGGAAAAAATCATGTGGTAATAAAAATTACCTGCCGACGGTAGGTGAGCTGTGTCTCTTGTTCAATTTCAGAGTCCAGTTCTGGAACATCAGACAGATCTGAATCTGATTCATCACTATTAGAGTCAGCCAGATTTTCTGTAATTTAAAAAAATGAAACATTACCTGTTTAAAGAAGATTCATTTTCAAAACAGCACAATAAAATTAATGATTAAAAGCTGACTGTGCCAACTGACATGGAGACAAGCCATAAAACAAGCAAATGAAATTACCTATTCAAGTGACACAGATGTCAGTAAACTGTACTACAGATTATCTTCCTCTCCACTCACTGCAAACTCAATAGTTCCTTTAAATCCCTTCACTGGCTCCCCAATGACCGCTACATCAAATTTAAATGTCTGTGCAAATATAAGTGAATATAACCTATAATTAACATGAAAAATAGCTAGAAAATACCATAATGCAACAGATGAACTGACATTAGATAATTTTTCTTTGTCAAAAAAACCATACTGAAACCTAGATACCCATCTCCCAGAGAATACATTAAATGTTTGTTTTACTAATGCATGTTTTTTACTCATCATTTGATAGATGAAAGTGTAACCAAAAGTACTTTGTAGTCCATGCTCTGTGACATCTGAGTTTAAAGATATAGACCTAATATTTTATTTAAAATTTCCACTAATAATAATAATCTATACTGTTAACATACGAGGCTTGTGTATGTTTCAAGAGTAAAATTGTTATTTGGGGGTTACTGAAGAGTTATTTGACAGAGACATGTTTAGGCAGTGTGTTCTACTCACCTTGGGGTGCTATGTGAAGAGCATCTTTTAGTTTTCTTTCAGGAATAAATTTCCACTGAAAGACAGAGTGATCTGCTCCACCAATAGAAATAACCCACTGATAATCATGTGACCATCTGACATTAGTTACATGAGCTGAATGGCCAATGTATTTTTTAAACTTGGCCCCTATAACAAAAATATACCTTTAAATTGATAAACAAATGCCAATACACACACACAAAAACACTATAAACAACAATTTCTATACCTGAACCAATGCATCCTACTTCTATTACCTTAATTATGATCAAAGGGGAAAAATGTTAATTCAAAAATTCACTGAGTGAACAAATGAATGAGTGTACATCAAGGGACGTACATCTTTGCTCTACTGATTCACAATATAATTTGGTAAGAACCACAAGAGCGGTGAAGCATTATCTTACTGCTTTGAGAAAAGTCTGCAGCTACAAGGGGATCAATTGTTTTTATATTCAGATATTTGAATGTTTTGGCCTGACACCTTTGATCTTAAGTGATATTGACCAATCTCCTCCCACACTATTCTCAGCCTTAGCTGCGAAGATCCTTTTAAAGCTTAAGCCATCAAGAAAATATTAGCAACATATAAATAGGACTACACACCAAAACCAAATGGGATTTATGCCAGGAATGCAAGGTTGGTTCAATATACAAAAATCAATCAATGTAATATATACCATACTAACCAAAATAAAATACATCCAGTTGTCCCAACAACTATCTTTTATAGTCATTGTTTTAAACCTATATATTTGGTATAATGTCCTTCAATGTGGGCTTGTCTGATGTTTCTTCATGATTAGATTAAGATGTGTTTTTTGCACAGACAATGTTGTGTCCTTTTGGATACATCATTTTAAGGGGCACCACAGTTCTATCACTAGTGATGTTAAGTAGCAGCATTTGGTTAAGGTTTTATATACCAGACTTCTCCAACTGTAAAGGATTTGTTTAACTTTCTGGCTAATTTTTAAAAACTCTGTGCAATGATAGGAACCATTTTTGTGGTTCTAAGTTCAGAATACATTTTCTATATCCTGCTTAGATAAACTTGATATTTGGCAACATGTATATGTTCCTGTTAGAGTACACTAAACACAATAATGTTTGGTTTCATTTTGATAATGTTTTAGAAGTTTTATTTGAAGTTACAGAAGGCCTGTATTTCAGGATGGCAAAGATCCATCAATTACAAACTGGAGAAAAACCTTCACCTTGGCCATGAATTTAGGGATAGCCATCTAATCAAAGCATAAAAGATGTGACCCAAACTATATAAATTACAATTTACTGCTACCTGACAGTAATGTTATTTTTTTAAGAATCAATTTTTTATGTAGCTTAACAGAAGTCAGAAACTTTCTAGATGGGTAACTTGCCACAATTCACTCCACAAGTCCAATAAGGTAAGATTTAGTCCCATCCCTCTTATAAGAGAATGCATTATTTGCCTGTCAAGAGGACTCTGGCTATTACTTCCTTTGATGGGGCCCTGTACATACTCTTAGGCAACAGAGAGACTTACAAGGTAAAACCAGAAATTTCAGCAAATAAAAATTCCAAGTTTTTAAGGTGTACTAATTTTGTTATGTTTAGAGCAAATGAAGAAGAGTTATCTGAGCACCTATTCTAATTGACTATATTGGGTGATAGTTCCAAGAGAGGTGTAGATAATCCTGTAAGGCCTTCCGAATGATTTTCTCTGTGACTTTTCAAAGATCAATTCCTCTGGAAGAACCAAGGCAATTCAACAAGAAAGCTATGGAATAAGTCTAAGGGAAGCCAGTTATTTCTAATCAAAGTGACTTTATTAATAATTACTCAATAGCCAGCACTGTTTATCTAACTATGATAAACAGTTTATCTTAAAAGTAAACCTAGATATCACATCTTTTAAGAAGTGACCATGACTCACCAAGACCAATCATATTCTCTTATCATGCTTCCAGAATTCCCTATTACCCCATGTGATTATAACACTCAAATGTAATAGTCTATTTACTTGTTAACTCCTCTAATAAATTGTAAGCTCCTTGAGGGCAGGATTGTATCTTGTTTATCGTACATCCCTAATGCCTGATACATAGCAAACATTCATTAGGTATTTGAAGAAAGGGAAAGAAAGGAAAAAAAAAAAGAAAGATCATATTTTCCCTTACTTTGCCTATACACTTGAGTTGAAATGCTAGATTGTAGAGGAGGGAAGAAGAGTAGTGAAGGAGACTGAGGGGGCATGAACTCCAACGCTTACAATTCATTAAAGGGGACAAAAAGTCTGATGTAAAGAATATTAGAGTTGAAATCAAAAGACTAGAGTTTGAGTGTCATCTTGACTACTTAATAGCACAGGAGCTTGAGCACATCAGTTAACCTCTCTTAGACTCCATTTCCATTTTAGTATAAATTGCATTATAAGCTCTCAAAGTCCCTTCATTATTAAAAACTGACATATGATAGAAAATGATAAAAGAACAGTTAAGGCCTAAACAGTATGTCATCAATTAGGACTAACATCTCAGAGAAAAGATTTATCAAAGCAAGCTAGAACGGTCATAGAAGCTTTCCTAATTTAAATGAGAACAGAATGATAATTCTTGGTGAGGATAAAGCAATAGACTGAAATATTTATGTTTCAATGATCCCATGTCTTTTCTAATTTATTTTAGGGTATATTTTAACACAAAGTTAATATGAGTTAAATCTCTTCAATAAATTGTAGCAATATGACAAAAGATTTTTTTTCCCATTTAACAATGTTTTGATGACCTTAAAACTTCTAGATATAAAATATATGAGAATATCTTTTTTGACCCTAGTAAAAAGTAGAATTCCTTAATACATAAAAGAGCATTATTCAGAAAAAGAAAGAGAAACTGATTTGACTACACTGAAATAAAAACTGGTCAACAAAAGACATCATTAAGAAAATAATTAACAAACTCAAAAAAAGGCATTTGTAATCCATAAAAATTACAAATAATTTGTATCTAAAGTATATAAAATTATTTCCATAAAACAATAAAAGAAATAACTATAAAAAATAGGCAAAAGATATGAACTTGTGTTTGACAGAAGAGGAAATGCTGAAAATCAAAAAATATTGGAAAAGATGGTCAATCTTATTAGTAATTAGATAAATGTAAATTAAGACAATGTAACACCATTTACACCAACTAGATTTACAAAAATAACAAGTGTGGCAATGCCAAGTGCTTAAGAGGATGTAGATCAACAGGGTTTGTAAAATGGTATAACCATTGTGGAAAATAATTTGGCATTTTCTTATAAATTCTGTATGACCCAGCAATTTCACTCCTAAGTATACATATTTGGAAACTTGTATATCATAGCAAAAGACTAAAGAACCCAAATGTCCAGTGACAGGAGAATAAACACATGAACTGTATCACATTTTCACAAGTATTTTACAGCAATGAAAAACAAATACACTAGAGCTACATGCAACAATATCTTAGAAATCTCAGAATCTTAGAAAAGCGGTGTTGAATAATTCCCCATCACAAATGTGTTTTATTGTTTGATATTTGTTTTTCCAATGAATTTTCTTCTGGAATCTAAAAAATATTTTTACCAAATAGAAATGTTCATTTGTCAATAAGTACTGAAAGAGTCTTGGCAATTATTAACAGTGATGAAGGTGTCAGATTAAAGCAACCATGCCCTCACCTCTCCATCCTCCCCCACCCCACCTTCTCACCCACCACCACAGCCTCTGTGCTGCTGCCTGGGAACAGTCTGATTATTTGAGAGAGATTATGGTCAAGAGCAGGAGAATCTAGAGAGAAAGAGGATAACAATGGACAAAAAAAACAAGAGGAGTAATGCTCCTCTGGCCTGGGATTTGAGGGGGCTAAATGTGGAAGAGGAACATTCTGGGCTAACCTCACACATTTTGCGCTGCAGTTACAATGATTCTGTAACGTAAGCTACTTCTATTATTTAACTTCTTTCTACATTTTGTAAAAGCTTCACTTCTTAGAATGTAATGGATATTACTTAAGTGGATATCTAAAATACATTAATACATCAGACACAATCTTTTCTCAAACTTAAGTTGGATCAACAGTACAACTTATTGTAATGAAATAATGTACAACTTCATAACTAATCTAAAAGAGAGTTTTTCTAGTAATACTACTAGCTTTATACAACTATGTAAATTCAATAAATACAGAATCTTAAAATATTTCTACTAATCTTTGTCTTCTTATCTCCCAATTACCTACCAATAATCTCAAGCTGACTCACAAGTGCCTAGAAATAAAAACCCTTACCATAAAATAAATGTCTAACAAAAATCTAAAAAAACCAGAAAATAAGAAAATTTATATTCTTGAAGCAGTAACTGAACAAGACTAACTTTTCTTAAAGACTTTGGTAAAATATTCCTACAGCAATTCAGAAGACTACTACACATTTTATAAATGAAACAAAATTATTGAGCAACAAAAATATTGTCTTCCCTGTTGCAGAAGATAAAGCTTGTGAGTAAATCCCATGCATTTGACTAAGAAAACTCAGAAAATTACTCTTTTTCTGCAGAGAGGTCAGTGTATGAAACAGTGAGTAGAAGCAATGTCTAAGATTAATATCACCATGATTAATCTTACTAAATCTCACACCTTCTAACTAGGCAAGTATCATTTTGAGTCACAATAAAATTTGTTGTGCCTGGTGATTCTCATGTCCTGGCTATGTGGTGGGATCCAGAAATAAGGTACTTCAATTGCTAGAGATTTAGTTAGCCTTTATTAACACCCTCAGCATTACTTATGGAGGTACTTTCACATGCACCTAGGAAGCTGACATGTTGCAGGCAGGAATTGACAACATGGCATAGCTGGCACGATCTGGAACTCACCACTTTACTGTAGAGGTATAGCAATTACCAGTCTAGACTTCTGGGAAACTTGGGCCCTTAAGTTTAACATCAAGGGGACTACCTAAACTATTTGAATAAAACTATTTCTGCTGTTTCCAAAATTACCTTTTTACTAAATTGCATTTTAACATTTGTCCAACAGCTTTTATTAACTGGGTGAAAATCATGACTGCATCTGCTATAGATGTTGATACTCTATGAATACACTCAGTGTACCTAATATAAGGCCCTAT